GCTTGGCAAAGCCAGGCTTGAGTGTGCAGCATTGATGTTGAGCAGTGGGGCTTATGGCTGTGGAAGGTATCTGAGTTGACTATATAAAACTTCTGCATTCACAGACAATCACAATAAAAATCTCCTACTTATTAATAAATCTCAGATAACTCTGCTATAGCTCCTGTGTGTGCATTAATCAACTAAACCATTTATACATGTTCGCAGCTAAATTGTTAGCAAAAAATGCAGTGACAAATGGTAAAAAGAAAAAAGGTCAAAACTTGAGCATAATATGAGCGCCAAGTCGAAAGTTCTCGTGGAGATTGCCCTGAGATTGAAATGACAGATTTCAGGAAGAATATGGAATGCAAGACAGGGTGGTGCTGCTGGCCTAGGGGTACAAGGGACTATGCATAAGCACGAAACGGAGGAGCCCAAGGAGCCTCCCGGTTGCTCCTCAGGAAGATGATTCCTCAGCAGCTCCCAAGCACATTCAACGTCTGGAGGTGCTGGCTGCTTTCTTGGGAAGGGACAGAAACCCGCCCCTACACTGCGCATTGTTCTTGGGTGCTTCTCTGAAGGAGACACGAAGCAAAGGCCAGCTAGGCAGAGCCAGGTATGATCCAACTCCAGGCTCAGTGTGGGTGAAGTCGTCACTGACTGCTTCAGGTTAAGATGACAGTTGTAGGATGTAAAGTGAGATGACTTCGGGGGTGATTACAAAAATGAATATGCATGTGCTTCGCTTTCCATTATCAGAACTGGAAGATCAGAAGGCTTCAAAAACTAAACTTTTATCTTCATCATCACACTGGAATGACTTATTTTGGAAAATAAGTTCAAATTTTCAGAAACCCTCAAGTCTGTACCTAGTGTTGAATTTCAGGCCAGTGAATAAAGTGAGTGACTCATTTTTTCCCCAATGAGAGTATTTAAACAATGTAAGATGTAGTTAGCATTATGTGTGGGATTACAGGGCTGAAGCACACCACGACACCACACTTCTCTTTGGGGGTGATGACCTTTTCCTGGGTGACAGGGAGTGGAAAATTTTCCTTTCACCTATTTCAGATTTTCCACAATTTCAAGATGGAGGATGAATTTAAATGGGCAAATCATAAATTTGTCAAAAAAGTAACATTTTAAGCAGATATGATAGAGAAGTGCTGGGAAAGAGGGTGACAGCAGTCTTAAGTTGACGGAAGCCTTACATGGAAGAATGAATCATTGTGGGCTGCTTGCTTTACACTTGTCCTACAGGTCTTGGTTAAAAAACAAAACAGAAGAAAAACTCTTGTGCTGGGGAAGTAGCTCCGTATCACAGTGCCTGCCTGGCGCATGTGAGGCCCTAAGTTCAACTCCTGGTTCCAAAAGAGAAAACAGAAAAGAAAGAAAAAAAAAAAGAAAGAAAGAAAGAAAAAGAGAAAGAAAAGAAAGAAACCTCTCTATGTTGAATTTTAAATATACAACTATCTATAAAATTGTGAATGGGAAGAAAACCACTCAAATAGAAAGAACTGGGATGGGAAAAGTAGAAAAGAAGGAAAGAAGGGACTATATTAGGTAAGATAATTGTATTACTAATGTGTTTGATTTCACTGAGGGGAACAGTTAGCGCATAACAATTTTGCATACCTATGTTCGGTAATCTGCCCAACTACTCTGAAGATAACAATATGCGATATAATAACTATACACCCTATCATCTTATGTTGAAATGGGTATCTTATTTATTTATTTACTTACTGTCTTTAAAATAAAAAAAAATAAGCTGAGTTAGGGAGATAGCTAACAGCATAAGCACCTGCCTGGCAAGTGTAAAGTCCTGAGTTCCGTGCCTGGTACCAGACACACACAAAAAAATCTAAACTAAATAAAGTATAAAATGGCCAATAAAAAAATACAGGCATTGAATTTTAGAATGCTTCACTTGAAGATAACAAAATTCAAGGAGAATTTAATTGGTCTATCACAAGATATAACAATATTCTTTTAAGTAAATATTTTATTTACTTAAAAAAAAACGTTAAATAAAAAGAAAGTAAAAGAGTTTTAGACAGGATTTTAAATATATTGGGTGCTGTGACAGCGGCCCACAGAGGAAACATGATAGTAACCACACTTCAATGAAATCTAGACTGTGCAGAGAACAGAGGAAGAGAGGTTTCCTACTTCTTGTAAACGGAGGATCTACTGTGAGACAACTTGAGAAATGGTGGGGGAAGCAGAAGGATTTCAAAAATTGGGAGAAAAGTATGCTTTCCTCAGCTAGTCTTAAGCTTTTATTGTTAGTACCTAAGTGGAAGTGCAGCGAAAATACAGGAAATCAATATAAAGCTTAATTAGAGTCGAAGATGTCAGCCTCACTGGAGATTTATAGGCGTTCAGGACAGAGTGCTTTGCCGGGTGGAACTGGCTCAAAGCACGGCCCGAAATGTGCAAGGAGGCCTGACAAGGGTCACAACACAAGTGCACGTGGCCCACCCTGACTCAGGCTTCTTGGGCGTCAGCCTCACTCTTAGTGATGTTCCCACACTGGTGTTCAGCCACAAGCAGGCAAGAGGCCAACTCCATGTTATTTCACTCTCACACGCAAACAATTAGTCTTGTCTTTCAGAAACATCACTGAGCTTCTTTTCAGGGTGTTGGGGGATTATTGGCTGGGGCCAAATTAGAGTTGGGTATACAATGTCTTCTTCATTTTTAAAAGTTAAATACCACATTCTTCCTATAGAGTGTTGAAAATTGCCCTCTACAATTTACAGTGCTTCAAAAAAGTATTTGTTTTGAATGTAATTATACATACTTCCCATCCAGCTAGGTCCTAAGTGGTACTAAAATCAGCACTGTAGCTAGGCAAGTGGTCATCCTACAGAATCTAACGGTTAGAGGTGCTCTCTCTGTCTGCTCACTCTGACTGAAAACTATCATGCAGACATTGCTGTAGGCAGCTGAGTTAGATAGAAATAGTACAGACCATCAGACAGAATGGGGCCTGGAAAGAGCCCGTGCAGAAGATGGGCTACCTTGCCAATATGGGCCAGACCTCAGGAGGAAGATCAAACAAATGCAATCCATGCCTGCCTAGGGATGGACATCAGGTACTGATATTCCAAATACATATCAGTCACCTTGAAAAAGCCAGGAAGTGTCACTTGCTCAACCCCCTACAAGAAAAGCTTCTGCTCTATAATCATGCCCACTTGCTATGTGACTCCCTTCCCCATTTTATCCTATTTGATCAATTTTAACTAAAAATTTGTACTTGTAATCTTATTTGTTGACCCTAGTTTTGTTCCATATCATGCCCACCTTGCCAGTTTCCAATTTTCCCACCTTGGACCTGCCTTGTGTCATGGATTTGCTCTATAAAAATCTCTAGGAAGTACATATCCCTAAGCAAATATATTATGCTCTTAACCTTGGTTTTTCCTAAAATTCATTTTTAGGATTTATTTATTTATTTGGTGGAACCGAGGATTGAACTCAGGCCCCTGTACTTGCCAGGCAAGTGCTTATTCCACTGAGCCATCTCCCCAGCCCCTCATTTTTAGGTTTTAGAGAACACAAACTCATCCCAAGTATTTTCAGTTTGGGAGATTCTTTCCTCTATAACCTACTATGGGGAAGGGCTCAGGACCTGTCAGTTCCCCACCAAGCAACTCCCACTGGCCCCAGAATAACTCGGAAACTGCTGAGTGCTGTGCACAAAGCTCGCTTTTCCATGCACCACTGAACTCGGGACCCACTTTGCTTCTCTCCAGTCCCTCTGTGCAATCACTATGCCTTATGCCAGAAAGAGAACTTTTCTTCTTGCCACCCATTATTTCTTCAAGTATTATTCTAGACTTTCCAAAGTCTGGCTCAGCAACTGTGACAAAGGCACAAATGGCGTCCAAGTTTAGGGCACACACTACAATCCCAACACTTTGGGGTCAGGACAGTAGGACTGCTACTTTCCTGCAAGCCTGGGAAATCCTAGGATCAATTTATTTCCAGTCCAGAGAAAATAAAGGAAGCTCTGGGGCAAAGCATGATGTAAACATTGAACATAATTTTTCTGTTATCTCTTGTAGTCTTACAGTGAAATCTCATTATGTTTTTAAAATAATGTCAGAGTTATAATTAGTGCTGGAGTGATTTCTTCTAAGCTCTTTTTTTTTTTTTTTTTCCAGAACTGGGGATTGAATTTAGGCCCTCGTGCTTGCCAGGGAAGCATTTATTCCACTGAGCCATCTCCCCGGCCCTCTTCTAAGCTCTTAAATTGAAGTTTGGTAGAGAACACTAAAGTCAGGTACTTAAGCACCCTATAATCACAAACAGGAGAGAGACTAGAAATAAAAAAGGAGGTGCTCTGAAGGGATCCCTGAGAAAATAATTATGTAGTCTGTAATTACTTCTTTGGGAAGCTTTCATTCTAGTGAAAGTCAGTAATTTATACATCGGGGTTTTTAATGCTATAGTTGAAAAACTATATTGCATAGACATTCTCAATTTAGCTGGCAGTTGAGTAAATGAAAGTTTCTATTGTAAGTTTGAACACTGGTAAGAAGAAAAACTGGGAAAGCAAGGAACCAACCACTTGAAAAGTGATTGCAATTATTACCTATGAAAGGCGTCTCATGGTTTTAGCTTACCTCTTTGAAAACTTACTGCACATGCACATCTCTTATCTATCTATCTATCTATCTATCTATCTATTTATGAATTTTTTCACTATATTTTATTGGGAAGTACAAAAATTTTTTAAAAAGAATTTAGCAAAATCTATGTGCAAAATGATATATGTTAAGTATATGAGTATTTGAGCCTCAATGCATTATAATTAATAATGTTTAATACACATTTGCAAATCAAAGATCCACCATCATAATGAAAATACAAGCAAGGCGGTGCCAGAAAGAGAACTTTTCTTCTTGCCACCCATTATTTCTTCAAGTATTATTCTAGACTTTCCAAAGTCTGGCTTCCCAGTCTGCCCAGTCTGGCCTTCCCAGTCTGCCCCACCCCGCACTCACCTCCGCATCGCGGAATTGGTCCGCTCCACATCACTTTTCCATCCATGAGAATACACGTAATTGTTTCTGTTCCCTGGGTTTTAATAAATCCTTCTTCACAAATAACCGAAATTGAACTTCCTAATTGGAAGTTGTCCCCAAAGCGCCGGGCGTTGATCGGTATTCCAGGATCAGGGCATTCGTTATGTCCAAAAGCTTAATAACGATAGACAGAAACACAAGAGCTATGTGAGAGGGGAGACTGCTGCCTCTATTTGGACAGGAAAACTAATGACTCTTAAGAGTCTGTGTTTAGAGACTTTCCTCCAGCTAGAGTGGATTCTCTGTGATACGCAATAGATGTGTTTCTTCTAACACATGAATTATAATCTATGATTATACAATTTCAAAATAAAGTTGCTTCTGTTTTATTTATTTGTGAAGATCAGGGTGGCTGCGTCTATGAAGTCACTTTCAGTATAAAATGACTGGAATTCCAGTTAATGTGAACGCGAAGCAATTTGAGAATATCTTATTAGAAATGTCAGTGGTTCACCCTGGTGGGAATGCGAAGCTAGCCTCATGGTAGGAATTCAAATGAAAAGTTTCCACTTAGTGCAAAAGCTTCCCCGATTTCTTGGTAAATTTCCATGACATTTATCTTCTGTCACCCAGAACAGGGAAGAGGATTAAGTCTTTTGCAATTACCAAGTTCTAGGCACTGAGATAGTATCATCTCATTTAACATTTAGAAAAATGTGATGAGAAGGAGACTCACTATCCATCATAAAAAGAGATGCTAGACTCAGAAAAGCCAAGTACCCTGCCTTCAGCCTTTGAAACAAGGCTTCAAAGGAATGCGATACAGCTTTTCTTCTGGGTTTTAATTTTTTCCCCGTGCACTTTACTGTCTTGAGTTATTTGTCTTGAGTTTCTCAAAAAACATAAATCTTCAAGCTCAAAGCTCCTTAGCTTGTTTTACCTTGCTTCTTCTGTGGTATGTATGTAGCCCCGTTACAGCAAACAGGCACAAGTGTAGTAGCAAAGTGCTTTCTTGAATTTTTCATAGGTGATAGATTATGTGAACCAACCCAAATTTTTTATTACTCATCTAGATGATCAAATGGGTACAATAAAATCTCAGTGTAATATAAAAAGAAAATTATTCCCATTACTAGCAAGTTAATATAACCAGCTAAACTGCAAAGTGGCAGGCTGTCATCAGGTATGCTTCCAAAAATTAATGCCTGGATAATCCCACAAGATTATCACATACAAACGCACTGCAAACTCTAGAATGGCTCCATCTGGTTCTGACGGGAACAGGGTGCTACTGCTCAGATCACCGTGTCCTCAGAACAATCTCATCATGATGAAAAGCCACACCCTCTGAGGAGCTGGGAGGGATATGACTAGCCAAGCACTGCCACGCTGGGCGTTGGTAACCTACTGCAAGGCACAGGTGACAGCAGGCACATCACCCTCTCTCGTAGCTTGGTCCTGATACAATCCAAACCTAGCCGTGCTCAGAGACATGATGTCTTCTGAGCACCAGCGGCCCGAGGTTTGTCCTGCCTGGTCTGCTCATGAACTATATAATGCAGGGAGGGTGTGTAAGGAACAACACGTCCTCTTGTAAGAAATCCAAGAGTAATCAGTGTAAAACTGTTTGAGAAAGGCACATAGGCTGCCCGCTGGACACGGCTGCTGCAGAGCGCGGGCTTCGCTCCTCATACACTGGCCACAGAATATTTCCTAGCTGTGTCTAGAACCATTCCGTCATTTGTGAATGACACCAAGTTGGAAAAGAACCTGTGGGTTTAGTAACAGTGCCTAGGACTAAAATATTTTATGAGACATGTATAATTTATTGCTGTACTAATACTGTATGAGCACATACTGTTCTTCTAAATTTTCTCTTTTGTCCTGGTGGCTCATTAGTGCATCATTCTATTATACAGCATTAAATTAAGCTACACACAACATTAAGTTACATTCTAAAATATATACAATACATTGTATAGGTACACTTATTTCTAATAATTATTTTATCTTATGTGATTTTAAAAAGCTTCCTTTTGATTGTGCCTGATTACTCTAATATATAACAAGACAGTAATATTTATCAGTATGAATAATTCTCAGTAGTAAACATTAAATATAAGAATTTATCTAAGATCATTTTGATTACTTATCAGAAAAATAAAAAGTATTTGAAAATACCACAAACATTAAAGTTAAGAAATATTATGCATTTAAGATCAAATAATTATTGTAAGTATATATATATATATATATAAACTGTCTATATATGTGAATGTGAAATGCTTTTAAAGTACCTCAGATTAAGCAAGCATTCTTACAGCAAGTCTCTCTGAAGCAAATCACACCTAAGTGACACACAAATGATGCACAATATTGACAGCTTATTAGAGACACAATTTACCGGTGTCACTTTGAAAAGAACATAATTTCTCTTTGTTACAAATTGCCAAATAGCATTTAATAGTCGAAGGTGGGTGCAAGGTGTGAGATTCTTTTTAAAGGGAAACGCTCTAAGCTGGAAATTAAGTCTTACAGCTATGGCTATGTCACTTTCAAACACTAACATCAGTTGGGTCAATCAAAATCAGGGCATTCTGTGGGTTCAGGTAGAGCCGCTGCAGAAGCAAGCCCTGTGGTGCAGGTCTCAACCTATGAGGGAGGCGGGCGTTACTTCTCTATGGGATTCAACTTCTGGCTACAGTTCTCAGAATTTTTCAGATACACACTATGCAACTCTTGAAAAGCAAAGGAGTGTATGGAAGACTCTCAATAGCTGTGCAATTCCACAGACAAGTGAGATCTGGAGAAATACAGAGACCACACAATTCAAGTGCCAAGGCAATAATTGCAAAGACAGCTATGTGAACAGAAACTTACTGTTGTAAGTGATATTGAACCCACGTCCCGACATGGAGTGGTCAGCCTGAAATTCCAAGCGCAGTATGTGGCTGTTGCTTGTGAGGTGGGAAGGCACTTCTGCCCCAGTGAAGGTGCCAAGAATTGGGGAATCTGGAGAATCGCCATCTTTGACAGCAAGGAAGTCGAACTGGGATTCCAAATCGAAGTCATTGAAGGAAAGGTGTATGCGACTTCCTGGGTCAGAGATTATAGTCCAGATGCAATTCAGATTATTTCCATACCCTTCTGGGTAATCAGGAGAAAGAACGGTTCCCATTGGTGCAGTAAAGTTAGAGAGACAAGGAACTGGTAAAATGGGAAGATTATAAAATACAATAAATAATCAAAAGGAATATTTTGCCTTATCTTGTCATAGTCTACTCATGTGATAATCAATTATTTGATAAAATATCAAGTAGTAAAACTTATTTTATGAAGCAGAAAGAAAGCATTATCATATCAGAAAAGGCAACCAATGTTGTGGATGAAATGAAGCCAGAGCGTTTATATGTGCGCAAAAATATAACTGGAGTAAAGGCAACAATTTACTTTTGACATTTAGCATGTTTGTGTTACTAGTTTAGTAACTACTGGACTGAATCTGCACTGCAAAGGTGTTTGATGAATCTCTCTCTGCCCAGGCACAAATCTGTGATCCCATTTTCAAACTGCAGTGTCTACATGGAGAATGAAGGTCTGCTGTCTCCCACTGAGCTTATTTGCTCACTTTTCCTCTGCTTCCCAAATGGGCATACGTGTCCTCCTCTTTCTTATACACTCTACCACTGGCCAGAATCCTGGATAGCTTGATTCTGTAACTACTGATTTAAGTTTACTGCAAAACCACCTTCTTCTTCTTCTTCTTCTTCTTCTTCTTCTTCTTCTTCTTCTTCTTCTTCTTCTTCTTCTTCTTCTTCTTCT